GAAGGAGGGCCGTGCCCGTTCTGCTTCAGCCCTGCTGCGTTCACGGCTGTTCGTTCTCACCGTTACCCCACAGACTCACGCCTGCGTCAGCCAGTTGCTTTGGCAGTGCAGAGAAGTTTTATTCCGTGACCGTACTGTCCTTTCCCACACCCTCACTCTGAAAAAAGGAGAGCTTAGGAGGCCGTTGTATAATAGCAGGACATCATGACAACCTCTACACTCCGTGGCACTTTCCCTGAGCCAGGCATGGTTCTGAGGTTTTGCTCATAAATCCTCTGGAGAGGCACTGCTGACGTCCTATGTTACTATTCAGAATACTGAGGCGGCTTAACCAAGGTCACATAGTTAGAACAGATACAGGGCTCTGCCTTCAGCCAGTCCACATCTCAGTGTGCTGTTTATTAGCTCAGAGAACTTACACTACTCTGAGCCCTGACTCCCTTATCCACAAATGGGGATAATAATATCCTTTGGGGGATGTGGTGGTTTGAAAGAGAAATGGCCCCCTAAGGAAGCGACACTGTTAGGAGGTGTGGCCTTATTGAAGGAGGTGTGGTCTTGTTGAAGGAGGTGTGGCCTTATTGAAGGAGGTGTGGTCTTGTTGAAGGAGGTGTGGCCTTATTGAAGGAGGTGTGGCCTTATTGAAGGAGGTGTGGTCTTGTTGAAGGAAGTGTGTCACTGTGGGGTTGGGCTTTGAGGTCTCCTTTGCTCAGGCTACACCCAGTGAGACAGTCCACTTCCTGTTGCCTACATACCAAGAGGTAGCCAGCACCATGTCTGCCTGCATGCCACCATGCTTCCTGCCATGATAAACCTCTGAAACTGTAAACTGCCACCCCAATTAAATGTTCTCCTTTGTAAACAGTTGTCATGGTCATGATGTCTCTTCACAGCAATAGAAACCCTAACAGATATAGAAGTTGGTCCAGGGACTGGGGTATTGCTGTGATTTGCCTGACCGTGTTTTCATTTGGAGGAATTTGAACCTTGGTACTTTGGGTTAGGAAAGCAGTAGAATGTTCTAAGCACTGCTTAATGGGCCATACTAGTAGGAGCATGGAAGACAGCGATGCTAAGAGAGATTTGAACTGTGGGGGGCTGGCTCAAGAGGTTTCAGAGAAGAATTTTACTATGTAGTCTGGAAATCATTCTTGTGATATTTTGGTGAAGAAAATGGCTGCTTTTTGCCTTTGTCTGAAGAATCTGCCTGAGGCTAAAATGAAGAGATCTGGATTAATTAATTAAGGAAATCTCAAAACAACCTAGTATAGACTCTGACTTGTGGTTACTAGTATTCATGTTTATAAAGATTTGTAATGAAAAGGAGCAAGCTGAGGAGGAGGAAAGGAGCATCAGAAAGCAGAATGGAGCTAAATCCTGTGACCAAGGAGATAAACAGATTAAGAAATGGAATAAAGGGAGTGGTGACCTCAGGGTAAGATCCAGACCAGCTAGGTTTTCCACTTGTGAAAAGGAATTAAAGAAAAGCTTAGAGCTGGGTGTGGTGGTGCACACCTTTAATCCCAGCATTTGAGAGGCAGAGGCAGGCCAATCTCTGAGTTTGAGGCCAGCCTGGTCTGCAGATCCAGTTTCAGGAAGGGCAGGCAGCCAAGCTTAGGTGAAGGAAACCACTGAAAACAGAACATTGGTGAAGATGTCACTGAATGAGGGAGCCATGTTCCAGCCCCAGTAAGCAGCAGATCTTGGCAGCTCAACCACGTGGTTCTAGCTTTAGAGTCAAGGATAGAAGAAAAGCATTACGGACCCTCCCTCCACGACTAAGGAAAGATGCTAAGTCAGGCATGTGTCATGTGTCAGGGTTGTACCTGAACGGAGGCCTAGAGAGGCCATTGCACGAAGCTGTAAAGTTGAAGCCTGAATTGCCTTGTAGACCTCAAGATGTTAGACATGTCACATTTGTGTGACACTTGCTGAGGAAGCTGCTAACGGAGTGAAAACAGCCCAAGAGGAAGAAGTGTGCTGCGGTCAGCAGAGCTGAAAGGAGTTGGAGATCTGAAGAGTGCTTTGACATCAGACATGGAGATCCACCTGCCTCTGCCTCCTGGCTGCTGAGATTAAAGGTGTGCTGCACCACAGCTGACCCAATTTCTTTCTGAAAGGAAAGCAGCCAAGCATAGTGGCACATGACTTTATCCCCAGTACGTGGGAGGTGGAGGCAGAAGGATCAGTTTGGGGATAGCTGTGGCTGCTTTAGAGTTTGAGGCCAGTGTGAGATACAGGAGACACTGTCTCAGTGAAATGAAATAAACCAAGTACATGTAAGAATAAAATGGTTTGACACAGTTATACACACCTTGAGTCCCTACTTGGAGTCTGTGGATTGTGAGTTCACAATCAGGACTATATAACTAGACCCTGTATCACCTAAACGAATAAATCAATGCCACATTAAAATGTTTAAAGTGGGCCGGGCGATGGTGGCGCACACCAAAAGTTAAAGTGTAGCCCCCAAGGCAGAGTCGAGGAGAAGCTGTTTGTATGCTATCATGTTTCCTGTGTGCATTCTCTCATCGCCTTTAAAGGGAGTTCATTGTGAACAGTTATGTCCCTTCAGTAACACTTCACAAGGCAATACACACATTTGACATGTGCCACATGTGAACATTCTTCTTCCAGAATGGGGTCCTCCAGCAAATGATATTGTAGCTGATGAAATCACATGTGGGCGATCATAAACGATAGATCAGGCCAACACAAGTCAGAAAAAAAGATGTACAGACCACACTGATGCCGCTCGAAATAGACTGACAGATTTTAATTGTTATCTTGTTGCCTCTATTGACATTTTTAAAAAAATCAAGTCACAGCGGTGTGCACTTTACGCTGTGACCATCATAAGCAAATATGAAAAGAAGCAGTCACAACAGATGGACCGATGGTTGCCCATCAGTCCGACGTCATCTCACACGAAGGACCAATAAGAGACATGAGTCAGTGGAACAGAGTCTCACCAGGGCCTGAATGGCAGCTTTTGCTGGTGCCTGTGATTCAGTTTGGTCAAAGTTATAAAGCTTTTAGGTCAGCACCAGAGAACCAGAGAAGTAGAATTAGATATGTGTTGCTATGGAAACACCTATCACTAACAATACCAACTGATTTCAATCTTTTGGCTAGAAAAGTGGTCTTTGGTTCCCACTTTCTCTGCCTTCAATTCCTCATCCCTCATTAACAAGTAGAAATACGTTCTGTGCTTGGTACTCAAAAAAAAAAAAAACTGTTCAGCATTTTAAATGACTGATTCCATGAGTGGCAAATTTGGTCAGCTGGATTGACTGAATGCAAAGGATGCCGTACCACAGCTCTTGACATCATCAGGAGAGCCACTACACTTCAGAAGTCTTCCCAGGGGGCTTGAGTGCCCGCCCCGCAGGATACCGGGTTGGTCTCTGCTGTGGGAGCAGTGTGGAGCTGCCCATTCACTTTTGCTAACAGCTCAGTATTGCTTTATTTTCTGGTTGTAACAATTTGTGCTGGTTTTTGTGCGTGACCTGCATTGCCTCCCTGGGATTTATTTGTGTAGATCAGAAAAATCTGAGCTGGTAATTCAGCTGGGAACACAGGTCAAAGATAAAAGACATCTGGACTGGGGAGAGGGAGCACCAAGCTTGGGGAGCCCTCTGGTTGGTTCTCTAGAGCTGAGCCATGTGTCCAGGTGAAGGGCAAAGCTTTTCCAGGACAGCGCGGACTTCCTCCGGATTGTAGTTCCAAGGGCCAGGTTTACCCTGCAAGAGAGTTGAGTCAGATGTCATCGGTCCCACCCTACAACGCATGTCACGGCTGGGGCTTGTCCGAGAGATCTGGGCTAATGATATCTACATGGGAATTGTCAATGCAGGCAGATGCAGCCTTGAGGTAGGTCATGCCACTCAGGGAAATTGTGGAGAGTGGCACCAACATTTCACATGAAGAGTGGGCAGGGAGTTAGGAGGGGGGCCAGAGGCAAAATGGCAGAGGTTTAGGAGAAGGGGACCAAACCATAAGTTCTTGCAACATCAGCCTTGACACTGATTCTTTCCATTCTATAGAAGAATGCCTCTGGCTCTCCAGACCCGCTGTCCTTGCTCAGGCCTCTTCATCCCAATTTGGGAAACTACAGTACTTTCTGTGCTCGGTCCCTGTTCCCTTTGTCCTCTCTCCACAGACTCCAGTGAATTTTCTAAAGTGCAGATCTGATCAGATCATGCCTCACCTGTTCAAAACCTTCCTGTGGCTCTTCTTGGCCTTCAGGGGAAGATGAAATTCCCTGGTCCAGAACCAGATCCTGGTCATCTAAAGGATTAATTCCCTTCCTCCTCATGCCTTACCCACCTGCTTCCGATATTCTCAACCAACTTCCCTCCTCACGATGGCTTGCCTGAGTCCTTGCAGCTCAAGGCACAAGCCGGCCAGATCCTCGGAAAAGCCTGTCCTTCCCCCAGAAGCCGGAAACCTGAAGTCTGAGAGCCAGATCAGTTCTGATACCCCTGCTCTTTCATTTGCATGGCGTCCTCCACAGCTCTGGTGTTCTGACAGAATCCAATTGTTGGGGATCCAGAGACTTGGCTCATAAAGTAAAATATTGACTCTCTGACTCCTCAACAGAAAAGCTTCCCTGACCCCTGCTCTGGCATTGTCCAGCACTTGGTTCAACCTTACCCCCTCCCCCACCTCTCTCTTTTCCTATTCTCTATATGGAGCAAGTACTCATGGGGTCCAAAAGGAGGTATGAGAACCCCTGAAGCTGGAGTTACAGGTGATTGTGGGCTGCCCGACCTGGAAGCTGGGAACTGAACTCAGGTCCCCTGGAAGAGCAGAACAAGCTTTTAACTGCTGAGCCATCTCTCCAGCTGTAACCTTGTTTTTTGAGGCAGGGTCTCTCTCTGGTCTGGGGATTACCAATTAGGTTAGACTTCCGGCCCCAGAGCCCCAGAGATCTGCCTGTCTGCAATCTTGACATCAGTAACGATATCTGTGTGCTGGGATTGAAGGCATTCACCACCGCCGCCCCACCCCAATAATGACACCTTTGTAAGAGCTGTCAACCCAGGGCGCTTCCCATCTGTTTCCAATCCCTAGCACTGGAATTCCAAGGGCATGTCCCTGGGCTCAGCTTTTCCACCTGGGTTCTGGGTACCAAATTCAGGTCCCTGTGCCTGTGTGGCAAGCTCTTTAATGGCTGATCCATCTTTCTGTCTCCACCGCTCTTCTTTGTATCTTTCTTAGCCTCCAGACTACGGATACCTTTGACATAAGTCAGGGGTCATTTTAAGTGCGTTCTCTATTTCTTGTACCTGCACAGGGCCTAACCCAGGATAGGGACTCAGTGCCCAGCTTGCCTCAATAGTGCCATCAAAAGATGAGGTCTCAGGGAGAAGGGAAGATGGGTCTTCTACTGTGACCCTTGCCCCCTGGGGCTCCATCTGTAGGTTATTCTTTGTTTTACCGGCAGGCCATAGAGCCAGCTTGTCATCGATGAGGCTAGGCATCCATAGTCTGTTCTCAAGGTTTGAAATCCCTTCAGAACTACACAATTTAGCGTCTACCCTCTGGGTAGGCTAATGGTGTCTGATGGGTCTTGGCTATGATTACCCTCTTTACCCTAACCAGGCAGAAACCTTGAGGGGGAAATGGTTGCTAGGAGGCTGGCCTGACTCGGTTTCCAAGTCATTTTCCTGCCATGTTTCTAGCTTCTGATCACCTGGTCCTTCTTAGCAGTGACAGCTCCAGAGCCTCCCTCTTCTGCTTGCCTGGTGACCTTGGGCAAGCTGTCCCTTCTCTGAGCATCATGTAGAAAATGGAAACATTTTCCCACTCAGCTTAAGGCCAAGGGCCACTGAGATGGCTCAGTGGGTAAATGCGCCTGTTGCTAAGCCGGACAACCCGAGTTTGATTGTCAAAACTCACCCGGTGAAAAGGGAAACTGACCCCCCAAGTTATACTCTGACCCCCACACTCACAGCGGCATGCATGTGCCCTCCTTCACACGTGTGAGATCAATAAAAAAAATGTAATTAAAAAAATTAAAAATAAAGGCTGGGCATGGTGGTACACGCCTTCAATCCCAGCACTCGGGAGGCAGAGACAGGCGGATTTCTGTGAGTTCAAGGCCAGCCAGGTCTATAGAGTGAATTCCAGGACAGCTGAAGCTAGGTAGAGAGACCTTGTCTCAAAAACAAACAAGCAATAAAAGGTAAGCAAGAAGAGATAAGGACTAGGCCAAACTCGGGATGCTGAGGCAGCCAGGAGGTTGCGGCCCTAGTCAAATGCTGGCGTGTGCGTGGGCGCGCTTCACTCTGCACCGGGTGGAGACCAATCTCATTTTGCAGAAGAGAAAACCGGAAGGTTTTGAGGTGAAAGGACTTGCCCAGGTTACATGGTGAGAAGTAATGGAGTACAGCTCTCCCTGGGCTGACATCCTCTTGTGCCCCCGTGACACCAACTCCATGCCCTTTCCCAGACCTCTGATCCCAGGCCACCACCTTGTAGCAGATCCTGCCCTCCTGTATGACATAGAGCCTCTCGGGTAGAGCTGCGTAGAGCTGGCTGCTCTGGTTCTGCATTGTGTCCACCACCACAGGGCACTGGGGACTCCTGTCCAGCAGCCGGTGTGCGGCCCGCAGGCGGTCCTGGAGGTTCCGGTGTTGCCTGATGTCCACGTTGTTCTTGAAAGCCCAGCCATCTGCAGGAGAAAGGGTCGGCTGCAGCCCCGTGAATTCGACATGCAGTTCCCACGGTCTAAGTCCCACCCACTTTTAACAGAAAGCTCCACAGAGCAGTGCCCTATTAGAAATTGGCCAAGTCTCCTGTCAGAGGTGAAAAGCAAGTCCACACAGGGGTCACCAGAATTCAAGTGCTACCTGGGATACTGACTGACTGGCAGGACAGGCCTCGGGTCTTCAGTGAGACATAGTTGGACAAAGTGTTAGTGATCATTAGCCTACATTTGAGCCACTGGGGGCTGTGCTAGAGGAAGAGTCTGTCTAGGGGCCAGTGCGAGTGTAGCCCGCCCCTACGATGTCAAGGTTGCTGGTGCCTCAGCTGCATGTAGGGGCAAAGGTCAGAGCAATGGTTGTCCAGGTGTGTGTGTGTGTGTGTGTGTGTCTCCACTTCCCCACTGGATTTCCCAGCCCTGCTCTAGGCCATAGAGGAACGGGCTCTGAACTGTGTGTTTTCACAGCCTTCTCCATAATTCTAATGTACAAGACAGTTTAAGGACTTCTACTTGGAGTAACTGAGCAGTGGTGGCGCTCGCCTTTAGTCCCAGCACTCGGGAGGCAGAGGCAGGCGGATCTCTGTGAGTTTGAGGTCAGCCTGAACTACAGAGTGAGTTCCAGGACAGCCAGGGCTACACAGTGAAACCCTGTCTCGAAAGACAACCACTGCCACTACCACCATCAACAATAACAACAACACTTCTACTGTGGAAACTAGACAACATCCCTCCCCTCACTATTTCTCACCATGGTGTTCTTTCCAACATACAAACCTGTTGGCGGTTGTTTTTTACCCTCCGCCCGGGTTCCAAATAAATCTCACATGGAGGCTTATTCTTAATTATAAATGTCCAGCCTTAGCTTGGCTTGTTGCTAGCCAGATTTACTTAGCTTAACCTGGCTATCTTTGGCCTCAGAGCCTTTTATCTTTCTCTGTTCCTGTATACCTTTTCTTTTCTTCTTACTCCGTGTCTGGCTGTGTAGCTGGGTGGCTGCGTGGCTGGCCCCTAAAGTCCTCCTTTCTCTCTCATTCCTTCTTTTTTCCCCATATTTCCCCTTCTATATATCCTCTCTGCCTGCCAGCCCCACCTAACCTTTTTCTTGCCTTGCCATTGGCCGTTCAGCTCTTTATTAGACCATCAGGTGTCTAGACCATACAGGCACAGTAACACAGCTTCACAGAGTTAAACAAATGCAATGTAAACAAAAGTAATATATCTTAAAATAATATTCCCAACACAAATCTGCCCTTGTTACTCTCCTGCCTAGATCTTTTGATGGGCCCATCACCTTCCAGCTCGATCCCGGGCTTCTTAGTGCCTTTCACCTCTACACGTGAGCGCCTACAGGAAGGAGGAGCTGTGTGTATGTCTTGTTTCACTCTTGCTGGGTCCAGCATGATCTTGAGCAGAGACTCAGTGCTGGCTGAGTATGGCTGAGTGATTCTGCAAGGCAGCGGCTGTTGCTCTACTCTGAGGCAGAGAAACAAGTCTGAAAGTTGACCGAGGTTATATGACCGGCATATGGTAGAGCAGGAACTACACCCAGACTTTGGCTACAGACTCCTGAGCCCCTAGGATTGGTGGACTCTGGCTCTGCACACTTTCTTTCTGAAGTTCATGTCCAGTTCTGTCTGTCTCACAAAAGCAAGCATGTCAGAGCAGGAGGTGGGGAGGAAGAACTGTCTGCGGGCGGGGAGCAAGACGCAGAGGTGACATCATCAGGACAGCGCCAGGGAGCTTTTCCCCAGTGGCTCAGGTGGACAGGTCTGGGTTCTGGAAAGGGTGAGACTTGCTGGGCCTGACTTCAGGAAAAGTGCAGCAGGCATGAGAACCAGGTGTTGGTGCTGGGGGTGATCCCGCCCCTACGACAGCTAGCAACTTGTTCTTTTGGAAACGCATGCAGGCCCTCTAGGACTCAGCTTCTCCAAGTGTGGTCCCTGGGCCAGCTGCCCCGGCTCTACCTGACCGCACTGGGGTGGTGTGGTCCCAATAGGATCTCCATTAACCTTATGGAAGCTTGAGAAGTGCCACCCTAGGACCTAATCAGCTCTGGCTAAGCTCCAGCTGTCATCTTGGAGACTGTCAATGCCCTGTCTTATAGATGTAACCAACCGTCTTATTAAATAAGAAACACAGAAACAATGCAAAAGAGAAAGCCGAGAGGTCAGAGCTCAGAGCTAAAATCTCACCCTTCCGCCTGCGGTGTCCCAGCTTCCCGAATGAGGGTTCTATTTCCTGTCTGTTCATCTATTTAAAGTATTTTGTTCTGCCTTCTCATTGGTTGTAAACCCAAACACGTGACTGCCTCGTCACTGTCTGAATGTACAGCCCCCTAGGTCTTAAAGGCATATGTCTCCAATGCTGGCTATATCCCTGAACACACAGATATCTATGGGATTAAAGGCGTGTGCCACCACCGCCACACTCTTGCTATGGCTCTAATAGCTCTGACCCCCGGGCAACTTTATTTATTAACATACAATCAAAATCACATTTCAGTACAATTAGATTACCACTACACTGTCTCTTCTCAGCTAGGGAGATTATAGATCTCAGTGGACTGCCCAGGGCCTGCCTCTCACAAAGAGATTCACTGTGCCTTGTGCTTGAGCTCCTGCTGCCCAAGCTGTTCATATATATATATATATATATATATATATAATGGAATTTTTGTTTTGTTTTGTTTTGTTTTTTTCGAGACAGGGTTTCTCTGTGTAGCTTTGCGCCTTTCCTGGAACTCACTTGGTAGCCCAGGCTGGCCTCGAACTCACAGAGATCCGCCTGGCTCTGCCTCCCGAGTGCTGGGATTAAGGGCGTGCGCCACCACCGCCCGGCTATATAATGGAAAATTTTAAATATATATAAAACTACAGAGAAGCGCAGGCTTGTCCCCACGATATTTTAAGTTGTCCCCCAAATGTGAATGAGAACAGAAGCTTCCTTGAGTAAGAGCTGTCCTATAGCAGTGTTCCTCTGAGTGTGGTCCTCACACCAGAGACAGAACCATCACTTAGAACTCAACCCAGTTCTGTGAAGGCATCTGCTTCAGCAAGGCCCCCAGGAGCGTGGGGGCTCACCAAGGTTTGGTGAGCTACGATCCAGACAGGCCATAATGTCTCTTTGGTCTTAGGATATATCTGAATATAGCTAGAGGGCAGTCATTTTCATTTGTGGCACCTCACATCTCAACGCCTTGAAAATGTACTCAAACCAGCTGCCCTCCCTCGAACCTCCGCTTATCTATGTTCCTCTTCAGACTTCTGCTCTGTGTGCCCTGGCTGCAGCAGATCAGGGAGAGAGAGGCAGAGGCAAAGCCAGTGCAGGGCTGCACTGGCTGCACTGGCCCTCCCTCCTCGTCCCCCCCCCATCCCTACTATAAGATGGGCTTGGGGGGGTGGTTGAAAGAAGGGGGTGGGAAGAGTAGAGGCAGAGAGTCTTCTCGTACCTGTCGCGTGAGCTTCTTCGATGTAGATGATGAGGAAGTCTGCCGTGGAGGCAAAGTCGTCTACGAGTCTCTTGAATTGGTCAAATTTCAGAAGAAACGAAGGTCAGGTGCAGCTGCCAAAATTCAGCACCAGCGGCCTGTTGCCTGCAGCAAAGGGACCATCAGGAGCTACGTTTCCTTTTGCCTGTAACGTATTCCCTCCTGCATTCAGATCTGTTCCTTCTGTCCCTGTGGGGTGCATCGTGGGCACAGTGTAGAGCCCAAGCCTAGACAGCATGGTCAGTGGGGGCTGAGGCTGGCTTTTGCCCCCTGAGACCAGAGGTTTTGTTAAGGGTTTCGATGACCACTGTAGATGCTAGATGGTAATTAAAATAATAGAAGAATCCCTTCCCCCTCAGACTGCAGTTTATAAGGTAGGCAGATGTCCATCCTCTATGAGATGTGATTCCTAGTATTCAGAGTGGGTAGTTACCCCCCTTTTTTGGAGACAAGGTCTCACTACGTAGCACTGGCTAGCCTGGATCTCACTATGTAGACCAGGCTGGCCTTGAACTCAGAGATCTGCCTTCTGAGTGCATCACCATGCCTGGCAGTTCTCTCTCATTCTCAGGAAGGATCTGAAGCTTATGGACTTGCTTCAGCAGCACCCACACACAGCAGGTCAGCAGTGAAGTTCAAATGGACACTGGCTTCTGGACTTGCACGTCAGTGCTCTTTCTATAAAAAGTACCCCAGTTTCCTCCTCGTGCGCAATGGACATGATGGTGTGTGTCTGCAGGGAGCTGGGACGGTAGCTCGGCCATTTAGAGCACTTCCTGATCTTGCACAGGTTCTGTTCCCAGCACCCACATTAGGTGGTTCACCACCACCGGCAATTCCAGTTCCAGGGATGAGGCGCCCTCTTTTGGTCTCTGCGGCACCAGGCACACACGGGTGGTGCACACACATACACACAGGCACACATACACAGTAAAAGAAAAAAAAAAAACAAGTCTTCAGAGAACGCATACTTTACAGGATCGTTATGAAGGTTAAGTAAACCAATGCCAATGAGGGCTTAACCTGGCGCCTGGCACAGACGAGATGCTCAGTAGACGTACACTATTGCGAGGAACTGGTGTCTACTCCTTGAGCTCTGAAGTAGTAACACAGTGCAGAGGGCGTCCCAGAGGGAGCAGGGATGGGACCTGCTGCGACATGAAATCTTCAAAAACGAAGCTGGCGCTGCCAAATTTGCTAAACAGATTCCTCGTGCCTTCCGTGGTCTCTCTCAGCACCTGGCCTGGTGTTTTAGTTAGCTGCTGTTTAATGCCATACTCCCCTAAAGCCCAAAGATACTGGAAGGGTGAGAGCAGGTCCCCAGAGTCCCCGCGCAGCTCAGTGGCTTTGCGTGGATCTCCCATCTCCTCCAGACCGAAACGCTCTCAGCCAGGAGCATAGAAGCGGAGACAGAAGCTTCCCCCTCCTGCCTGCCCAGCCTTCTCCGCACTGGGCACTGCCTCTTCTATTCCTGGGTGTTCAGGGGACCTCCATGGGGCAGAGGCTGACTGACAAGGAGCCTCTCCCTCCAGGTCTCTCCCAGTCACGTGCCACATTGCACAATGTCAATGGCGGGGACAGCACCCTGTCATGTGACTCTGGGGAGGGGTGCCCACACTAGATCCCAGCTTTCCTGTTCAGTGATCTTGCCCCTTCTGGGGCAGAAAATGGCAGCAGTCACTGCGGGAGACAGAGGGCACAGCCAGTGAGAGAAGAGTGAGTCTCAGAGGACATGTCTCAGACATTCAGAAAAAGGCTGCGCTTGTGTGGGCTGAGGGTTCAGGTCCTCCGAGCTCATCCGTTATCCCACAAGGCTTGACAACTAACTGTAGTTACAAGGATGAAAACATGGCTGGACATAGTGGTACAAGCTGGTAGTCCCGGAAGTGAAGAGACTGAGGCAGGTGATGGCTGTGAGTTTGAGACCAGTCATGTCGTGAGACCCTGTCTCACCACCCCACCTTCCTAAAGATGAAATCATGAGGAATTTCACGCTAACTTCTGCAAAATACTAACTCCCAAGGGTGAGGCCCTTCTGAGTGTGGGACCCTGTGGGAGTCCCTGGTCTTAAGCCTGTCAAGCCAGCTCTAGGCAGGAGCCTTCTTAACTCCTCAGCCAAGGCTAAGGAAAGCCCTGGAGACCTACTTCTGTACCCTGAGGTTTCTATGGCTGACTCTGAAACCCTCTTGAACCCTTGTCTATTGGAGGCTGGCTGGCCCTGCACAGGGACACGACCTATGTGAACAACCACATCTCCCAGGCTGCTCCTTGCCCCTGAAGGGTTTACACTCATCTCCCCATTTCGAGCACGCTTCACATTCTACCTATAAGCATTTATTCAGCATTTACAGAATGCCAGGCTGGCCGCCACTGGCAGGCATCAGTACCGAAGGAGGACATCAGGAATCCGACTCCAAATACAGTGAGGTTTGTTTCGCAGGGAGACTGGTCACAAGCAAGTCAACAGTCAGCGAGCATTGTGAAACTGTGACAGTGTTAGGAAAGAGATCATAAAGGAATGGCCCCCTGCAGACAGGTGGGGCAGGGAGAGCCTCTGGAGAACTGCCATTCAATGGGAAAGGTGAAGGACAGGAACGACCCAGCCCTGGGGAAAGGAAGAAGGGCATCCCAGGCAAAGCGAGTCAATGGACAAAGTCCTCGAGGAGGGACAGAGCCCAGTTTGTTTAGGGACCTGCAAGACCACTGTCTGGAACCTGGCAGGAGAGCGTCAAGGGCGGAGTTGGCACAGACCGCAATGGGCCAGAGCAAGGGCACTGGGTTTTATTCTAGCCGCAGCCCTGGAGCTATAAGGCAAGGGTGGTGGGTATATGCCCGCCTGGTTCCTTAGTCCCTTTTCTCATTTGGAATTCTGTGTATGACTGACAAGACAGTGCCCGGCTTTGCTATGTGGAAGACAGAAGAAGCAGGTATGCCCTCTGTCCCAGCAGCTGGGGTCGGGCAGCATCTCCATCGGTCTTTGATTCTGGAGCCACTGAGATAGAAGAACTCACAGCCTGGTGGCAGTGCTCAGGGATGGTGATGGACAGCTGTGGTGACAGCAAGATCTGGTCTAAGTGTTGATGTTAAAGACGTCCCATACCCAAGTCTCCAGAGACCTTTAGTCTTGGGGAGCCCAAGCTCCTTCTTATATGTTCCTTGGCACTCACATGAGCATGGTGTGTGTGTGTGTGTGTGTGTGTGTGTGTGTGTGTGTGTGTATGTGTGGAAGTGTATATGTGTGGTGTGTGTGTATGTGTGGTGTGTGTGTAGGTGTATGTGTGGTATGTATGTGTATGTATGTGTGTGTATGTGTGGTGTGTGTGTATGTGTGGTGTGTTTGTATGTAGGTAGGTAGACAGATGCCTGTGTGGAGGTCAGAAGATGACCACTTGCAAGAGTCTATTCTTTCTTGCTCCCACCTGGGTCCTGAGGATTGAACCGAGGTTGTCTGGTTTGGCTACAGATGCTTTTACCCATTGAACCATTTTGCCAGCCCACAAGTTATTCTCTAACCTCCACACATGCATCATGGCACACTTGTGGAACACTTGTGCCCACACACATATACATATATGCACACATACATATACAAATGAATTAAAATATGTAATGAAAATTTTAAAGGAGACCAGAGTGAAGTCTGTTGCTTGCAGAAATCCCTAGCTTCATGTAGCCATCAGATTCACACTTGAAAGGCATGCTGGCTGTTGCGTGGAGTGAGCGGGTTGTGGGGGGCAGCTGGACAGAGAAGGGGAGCCTCAGCTAATGCACAGGCGGGGGCAGGCAGAACTGAGGGACATGCTGCTAGCTGGTGGCAGAGGGCTCCTCGGCTGACTCCTGCTTCATGTCATCAGTTACACATCTTCCTGTTCTGCACAGGATTTGAAGCAGCTTGCACATAGGTTAAAATAGCAAATAGTGCCGGGCGGTGGTGGTGCACGCCTTTAATCCCAGCACTCAGGAGGCAGAGCCAGGCGGATCTCTGTGAGTTCGAGGCCAGCCTGGGCTACAGAGTGAGATCCAGACAGGCACTAAAACTACACAGAGAAACCCTGTCTTACAAAAAAACCAAACCAAACCAAACAAAATATCAAGTAGTAACCAAGGGACAGACCATGGCCGGCTGAGAAGTGTGGAACAGGAGGGCAGACGGCCGGGAGGCTCTGGTCGCTCTGCCCTTTTGAAATCAGCTTAGTTTTTGGCAATGCTGAAGATCGAACCCAAGGCCTCCAACGTGCTTGACAAGAGTTCTACCACTGGGCTGTGTCCCGGCCACTGTGCATCCATTGTAACCGAGCTGTGCACTTGACTTTGCATGTTCTAGTGGACGAGAAAAAGGAGACGCACAAGTCGTTATCATTTCCGAATATGGGGCCAGCGAGATGGCTCAGAATTCAGGGTGCTTGCTGCCAAGCCTGACCCCTCGGTTTGATTCCCAGAGCCCACATGGTGGAAGGAGAAAACCTGCCCCTTCGAGTTGTCCCCTGACCTCCACATGTACACTGTGGTGTGTGCATGGGCACATGTGTACACACACAAATAAATAAATAAATAAACAAACAAACAAATAAATAAATAAATAAAACCAGCCCCAGATTCTCAGCCTTCAGTGTGAGGGGTAGACACGCTGGTTTCTCTGCAGACACAAAGGCCTCCTTGTCTGGCTTGCAGACTATTTTCCTAGGCGGCCCTGGGAGGTCCCAGAGTGGGGCCTCGTCCCTGACGGTTGATTGCATGATGATTCCTCACCACATGACAGGGAGGCCCAGGCCTTAGCAGGGGAGGCTCCCTGCTTAGCAGGGGAGGCCAGTCACTGACAAGCAGCTCGTCACTGGACTGTAATGACCCTAGAGAGGCACTCTCCAGATAAGAAAGGTGCTTTCAGGTCAGGACCAGCTCAAAATGTTAGCGGTCTGGAATTTTGCTTTCAATGGGCAAAAATTCAACAGGCCCCAGAAGGGACAGGGCCATTTGTTTACTTATCGAGACAGTGGTCGTCATGGTGATGAGTAGCCAGGGCAAAGTCTACACTTCGTGCCATGCCGACCTGGCAGCAGAGAGAAGGAGGGGTGCCCATGACTGGTGCCCTGCTAGTGTCCACAGGCCACAGTCCACACTGTGAGGGTGTCAGGTAAGGACTCCAAGTCAGGTCTGCTGTGTTGCATAAATAGGAATCCAGTTCTAGAGCGCAGCCGGACTGGGCTCATGTTTGTGACTCCTGGGCCAGCATGCGAGCCTCTGGCCCAGGCTCTCTCCGTAGAGAACCCCCTTTTATCGATACTAGGTGATGCCTCCTCTGTGCACTTGGAGAGACCGCAGATCCAAGTTTGCCCTGTGCATGTGTGTGGTGCTCAGGAGTGTGCGCATACTGTGCGTGTGTGTCCTTGTTCAGGGCCGTGCAGAGGCCTGGAGATGGAAAGAATCTCTCTGAGGCCCCAGGGTCCCATTCGACATGAAAAAGCAGGCCAGAAGCACAAGCTTGGCCCCACTCCACTGAGAACTGCTGTGTGACCCTGAACGGGTTCTTTACAACTCTGGTCCTTTGCATCTGAAACCGTGACGGGGTTGTTTAGATTACATTACCTGTAAGGACTCACTCGCCTGGCCTCCCATTCTGTGCCTTGAAAATGAGTTCAACGTTCATCTCCAAAGCATCCCTCAGAGTGTTTCAAAGGCCTGGGAGGTTTCTGAAGTATTATGGGATGTCTTTGTAATTAATAACTATTCGGAAAACCTTCCAGAAAGGCACAACCCTGTCAGGAATGTGTGTACCTCCGGGCAGGAGACAGGACGCCCTCCAGCTCTGGTCCCTGGTGACCTCAGCGGCCTCCCCTTGTACCCAGTTTCTACACGTGGGAACTCAACTGCCCCCCCCCATCTCTCCTGCTCTGTTCCCTGATTCTTGTCCTCATCTGGCCCTGGTTCCAGGGCTGCTAGGCTGCCAGCTCCCCAGTGTCCTCCTGGTAGCTTTGCCCAAGTCACTCAGGCCCAGGTGCCTTCTCTAGAACTGTCTTCTCTTCTCCAGAACTCCATCTCCTCTCCCATTCTCTCTGTCCCTCTGGTGTGCTGGGGCAGAGGCCAGTGACATTCACGTCTACTCACCAGTGCCAGTGACTTCAGGGCACACTGGGTCAATGTGCTGAAAGTCAACTCCATTTTATAAATGAAGGTTAGGAGGTCTCTCTCAGCTCCTCAGATTGTTTGCTCTCTGATACAGCCCCAGGGGTCAGGGACAAACTGCACACTCCTTTTTCTTTTCTTAAAAAAGGGTTTATTTATTTATTTATTGTGTGTGTGTGTGTGTGTGTGTGTGTGTGTGTGTGTGTGTGTACATGTGTCTAGGTGTCTGCAGAGACCAGAAGAGTCCCACTTTCTTTATTTTAATCAGGGTCTCAGGTACAACGCTCAAGGTAGCGTGACCTTGATCTTGTGATCCTCTTGCCTCTGCTTCCCGAGTTCTAAGATTACGGGTTCCCATCACCGTGCCTGATCTGTTCTTATTTCTGTTCTGAGGATTGAACCCACAGCCTTGAGCATGCTAGGCAAGCACCCTACCACGGAGCCATGTCCCCAGCCAGTAGTTTTTGATACAGTTCTCATTATATAGCCCAGGATGGCTCTGAACTCCAATCCTCCTGCCTCTGCTTC